CACACACACACACACACACACACAGCTCATCTTGCTGGAGAACAAGAGGAGAGGAAAGCTTTCCTTTCTTCTGATGATATCTCATCATCTCGTCTTACACTGCACCCCTCCCCACACACACACACACACACACACACACACTCATCACGTCACCACATCAATCAATCCATCTGTGTGTGTGTGTGTCTGTGTGTGTGTGTGTGCGTTGACCATCAGATAAGTGTACTTTCTCTTCTCCAGTTACCGCCTCCTGTCTGCTCTGAATCCCTCTGATTAGGACACACACACACACACACACACACACACACACACACACACACACACACACACGTCAGAGCTAAGTTTTTTTAACCAAAGAATTAACATAATTTTTAAATACTTGGATAAAAGAAAGAAAGAAAGAAAGGAAGGAAGGAGGAAACAAAGGAAGGAAAGAAGGAAGGAGGGTAGGAAGGAAGAAATAATGGAAGATGGAAAGGAAGGAAGGAGGGAATGAAAGAAGGAAGGAAGGAAGAAAAAGGAATGAAGGAAGGAGGGAATGAAAAAAGATCTCACATAAATCAGCCAACGAGTTCAAACACAGGGTCAAAGGTCAAACATCCTCTCTCTCTCTCTCTGACCATCGGATAAGTATAAAACAACACCGCTGCAAGGTTTCAGCTTCAACAGCTGAACGAAGCCCAAACAATACAGGTGAGGAGTCAGGGGTCAAAGGTCATCAACCTCCTGCTCTTCAGGGCCCATGAACACCATTCAACGTCCGACAATGCAGTTATTACGATGAACCAATAAAGTTCTTCTACCACAAAGAGCCAGAGGTTAAAGAAGCAAACACAAGCACCGATCAGCAGATTCACAAGGTTCATGAGATCAGCTCTAGAGGTCCGAGGTCACTCACCACCAGGTTCCCAATGACCATGACCAGCATGAAGACCAGGAGGCAGAGCGGCTGACCCGCCACCTCCATGCAGTCCCACATGGTCTCGATCCACTCGCCGCACAGCACCCTGAAGACGATGAGGAAGGAGTGGAAGAAGTCCTTCATGTGCCAGCGAGGGAGAGTGCAGTCCTTCGAGATCTTACAGACACAGTCCTGTAGGAGGCAGGAGACAGAACCCGCATTATAGGTCTCAGGCTTTTATTGTGAAAGGTAGGAACTGGTCAAGAGTGAAAGGATTAATAAAGTTTGCTCCACACAACGTGACTTTATTTGAAAGCTCAGAAAAAACGATGTTCCGGAAAAAATATGAAGTTGTTTTTTCACCTCATAATATATTTATTCTGTGTTAAAGTACAAATGATAAAAACAACAGCTCAAAAGTGCAGCGCAAGAATTAACGGCCTCTGATTGGCTACGGGCTGCTAAACGCTAACATTAGCCTAGCTAAGGTTTTTTGTTTTTTATATTTACAACTTTCATATATTATTAAATTCACTTCGGATCATTTTTGAGGCAAGAAATGAATTGTATTGATTTCAAATATTAAGTAAATTATGGGAATATCTATAATAATAGTAATAATAATAGTAATAATAATAATAATAATAATAATATAGCCCCTACACAGCCTCCAAAAACGTGAACTCAAAGCTCCAATTAGCATCATAGCTAGGCTAACGTTAGCTTTTAGCAGCAAGTAGCCAATCAGATGCATACTGGGTAGGCGCTCCCGCACGTGTGCAGAATGGGTCGGTTGCTGATGGCCTGAAGCCTGCGTGTTGGTCAGAGGTCAGAGGTCACGTTACCTGGTAGTTCTTTCCAAACAGCTGCATGCCGACGACTGCGAAGATGAAGACGATGATGGCGAGGACGAGCGTCAGGTTGCCCAGAGCGCCCATGGAGTTCCCGATGATCTTGATCAGGGTGTTGAGGGTCGGCCACGAGCGGGCGAGCTTGAACACGCGGAGCTGCAAGCAACACAGGAAGACACGGGGTTTTCAGAATAAGAGCCCTCTTTAAACTTGAGTTTTTTTGTATGATTTTAACATTTATTTTTTCTATAAATAGATCTTCAAATGCAACTCTTTGTGATGGCCCCACGGTCGAGTCTTATTCTATGTTTGTTCCTGTAATGTTGCTGATAGTTTTCAGTATAACTGTGAGAGAAAGGAGGAAGGAAGGAAGGAGGAAGGAGGGAAGGAAGGAAGGAGGAAGGAAGGAAACTAGTAAACTAGGATTAGGAGACAAATAAAATGAAAAAGAAAGAACAACAAAATCAAAAGAAAGAAGCGAACGTTAAAGTGTGTCTTTATTTGTCTATCTGTGCGTTTTCTCCTGCAGAACCGACAACACCAGAGAAACACTGGAGAGACTGCAAGGACACGTGTGTGTGTGTGTGTGTGTGTGTGTGTTGCAGTCACCAGTCTGAAGGAGCGCAGCACACTGAGTCCCTCCACGTCGGACAGACCGAGCTCCATGAGGCTGAGGCAGACGATGATGCTGTCGAAGATGTTCCAGCCCGTCTGGAAGTAGTAGTACGGATCCAGAGCGATGATCTTCAGCAGCATCTCCGCCGTGAAGATCCCCGAGAACACCTGACACAACACAACACAACGGGTGGTTTGATGAAATGATTCATGTTGTTCATGATCCTGCTCACAAAGAAAAGATCAAATACATAAAGAGAGTCCAGCAGAACCAGACCAGGGTCACTTTGCATCTGTCCCACAAAAATGCAAAATGAAAGAATGAGGCCACCTGTTGCTTTACCTGCCAACAAACGCAGGAAACATACACACAAAGATATACAAACACAGAGAACTCACTGTGTATTACATGTAAAATATAAGATATAAAACATTAAATAAAGAAAAACAGTGACAAACAGAAAAGATCATCTGAAAACAAAGCT